TGTGTCTCCTTGCCTTGGCTTTCCCTCTCTTGTCTAACTCTCTGTCCTGTGATGGCACACTTGGTGTGATTCTCTGGCTTAGGACTGTTCACTGGAACTCTAAAACTGCTTTCTATGCGAGAGCTTCTTCAGATTCCAGCTTCTCCTCCGCCATCTTCCCGGAACCTTCTTGTAAAGTTCATTTTCGACATAACAATTTGTACATCTCATTGTTGCAATGGGTCCACTTGTATCCCCATTTAAATGATTTGTTTTTCCCCTTCCCCTTCACAAATTATACCGACATGAAATACAGTGAAAGCAGGGGTTATACTTTGGGGGAGGGATGTACAAAGCAACAAAGAAATAATCTTATAAATGTGTTAGAAACAATCACATGAAAGAAAAAAAATTGAATACATATCTTAGGGTTCATTTCCTTAACATCACCTTATCTGACCTTCTCTGTTTGACTCCATTCTGGTTCTTATTGGTAGAACTTACTGCAATTCCATTCCCAATTATGTTAGCAGATCATTTCTGATTACTGCCATTATGTAACTTGTTTTCCGGGATTACTGAAGCTTTTTCCACTCTTTCTCTTCTTTTAGAGACTTCTGTGTTTACTGAGCTCAAGAGCAGTATGTTTTGAATCTTGGATTATTAGTTGTGTCTGTTATAGATATTGTGGCACTTAGGGAGGGGCTTAAAATAGATGACAGCAAGCTATTCTGGAATGATGACACTTAGTAGTGATGATGAGGAAAGAAAAAGAGAAAACATGCATATAAGCAATAAAGGGCTATGATCACAGTCCATAAGTCAATGTACAACATACTATAATGAAATTTTTCACGTAAATTTTTAATGAAACCTTTTCATTTTTAAGATATTAAGGAAACACAAAATCTGCAACTGCATTTTTCCCTCCCATCATTTGTAATATTTGATATCCAATTTTACATTTTTCTATAGTAATTACTAGATATAGTTATAATAATTTTTCCCTCTTTATATTAATTTTATGGTTTGGGTAGCACAATTACAATGTTAGAACATTCTTAGGTTATATGTACACTCACACTTGCCAATAAGTTTCATACATTTCTGTACATTTTTCTTGTTCATTAATGGTTCTGTGTTTTGTACTTAACATCTACTTTGGTATTCCTTGGTGTTCACTTAACCGTGATTATCTGAGAACGTATTTATCCTTGCTTCACTTCCAAGTGTTCTTAGTGGATTATGTATGTGTGTGTATATATATATATATATATATATATATATGTATATATATATATGTATATATACATACATATATATATACACACACACACACATATATATAATCTTCATTAAAATCTATTATGCCCTCTTGGCTTCCATGGATTCTACTGAGGAGCCAATTGTTACCAAAACAGAATACCTATCTGTTATAGGTTCTGTTTATCTTCTATTATATAGAGCATGTTCTATATATTTCACCTGTTAGAACTTGATCATAAGACAGTTTGCTGTAGATGTCACGGTCAAAAATTTGATTAACCATTCATCTTTAGACATCTTACATGTCTATCCTCGCCTACATTAGGATTTTAAATGGTCATTACTTATTAGAACAAGCATTTAAGTTTTGGGGCATTCTCAACCATTTATTGAATCTACAAAACACTAATATTTTATGTTTTAAAAATACTGTTGTCAAATTTTGACAACATGTTTCCACGTCTTCATTCTTGCTTTAGTATACTCCTCCCTTAATTTGGTGTGCAGTTTTTATTCTCAAATCAATTAGTGATTGGTTATGGTTTCCTTGAACTCCCATTACTTCTGTTGGGTTCCATTCAACATTTCCTTTGTGGTCTCCCTGACTTCTTTCAGCTCTCCCTTTATGGATTCCATGAATGCGTCTATTGATCTTTGTCTATTCTCACCCCACTCTCGCAATTCCTGTATCACTCTTTGATTAGCTTCCTCACGTTCACGCAATTACTGTCTCTCTCTTTGACTGTTCTCAGCTTGCTCATGTAATCACTAACTTTCTCTTTGAGTGTTCTCAACCTGCTCAGGCAATTCCTGTATCTTTGAGTAGCTTCCTCACACTCATGAGATGCCAGTATTAATCTTTAGTTTGCCTCATCTCACTCCCTATCTCGCTCACAATGAGTCCTATTGAGGGAGAGGCAGCTTGTGGCTCTGTTTACCCATTGAAGAAAGTCTCTCCTTTGTGGGGAAGAGCTTGCTTTGCCTGGGCGGGTTGCCTTTTCCCTGTGTGGAGCTGAGCCTGGCAGGTCAGGTCAGGTTCCTGTGACCTGCTAAATGACTTTTGTTTTCTTCCAAGGCCTGAGTTGGAGCTAGCTCCTCAGCTTGGCCTTTGTCAATATCAAAGATGGAGATCTCTGAGTGGCTGGGGAGGGGTGCCCTTCCATCCTCTGCTCTCTAAGAAGGAGTGAGGATGTCAGGGTTTTACTCACTGTGGCATCTTGGTTTCTGGGTCATCTCTGATCTGCAGTCTGCAGAATGAAGATATCTGCTCCTTGTCAGTCCTTGCTGGTGTTGAATAGAATCTGCTTGCCTGCCATGTCTGGCCCCTTTGCCCTGGACTCTCTCTGTAGGTACATTGGGTATGGCCACCACTGCAGCCACTGCTTCTGTCACAGCCAGGGCTACCAGAAAGTGCTCAAATCTGTCTCCTTGCTTGTATTTTCTCTCTCTGGTCAAACTCTCTGTACTGTGATGGCACACTTAGTGTGATTCTCTATCCTAGGACTGTTCACTGGAACATTAAACTGTTTTCTATGCGAAAGCTTGTTTAGCCTCCAGCTTCTCCTCCACCATTTTAAAACATTTTTTTTATAAAATTAAAAAATTAGGTAGAAAAATGAGTCATTTGATTTTTGGGGGGGGGTGGGTGGGGAGGGATGATCTTGTATCTCCTCTGTGTCTGTAACCTGTCTCTTGGTGGAGTCTCTGCTTTGCTTGTGGTGTTAGAATTTCCTTTGGCTTGATTATTTTCTTAAGTCACTTTGAGCAGGAAAAATGCTCTGTCTTTGTGATCCTTCTTCCAGGCTAGTTCAGTAGGAGTGTGATCTGCTTTGAGTATCACAAAAAAGCTTGCAGTTGCTGTAGTGAGGCTTGGTTCTGGTTAGGGTTGAGTTCTATCAGCAATCAGTAGCTTTTCCCTGAGGGACTAGCTCCTGAGACACTCACAGAGCCCTCACCGAGCCATTCTCCAGATTTATGTTTACTGAGTTTCAATTGTTTATCTTTTACCCCTCATGCTGTCTCAGCTGCAGTGGGGAGGGACAGCCTCTGGCTCTGTTTACCCAGTGAAGAAAGTCACTTCTCTGGGGCAGACATGCCTCTGCCTGGGAAGGGCAACTTTCTCCTAGGTAGAGCTGAGCCTAGCAGGTCAGGCCAGGTTCCTGTGACCTGCTGAATGGCTCCTATTGTTTTCTTCCAAGGCCTGAGTTGGAGCTAGCAGCTTAACTGGGCCTTTGTCATTATCAAAGATGGAGTTCTTATCCACTGGTGGGGGAGGGACTATCTTCCCACTGCTGCTCCATGAGAAGGAGTGCGGATGTCTTGGGTGTACTCATGCTAGCCTCTTGGTTCCTGTGCCATCATTGGTCTGCGATCAGCAGGATGAAGATTTCTGCTCCTTGTCAGTTTTTTCTGGTGATGAGTAGAATCTACTTACACACCGCATCTGGCAACTTTGTCCTGGGCTTTCTCTGTTGATATGGTGGCGCTGGCAGCAGCCGCTGCCGCCATGGACACCAGCAAGTGCTCAGATCTGTCTCCCTGACCTAACTACCTGAATTTTTCCTCTCTGGCGAAACTCCCTGTACTGTGATGGCACACTTAGTGTGCTTCTCGTCTAGGACTGTTCACTGGAACCCTAAAATTGCTTTCATGTGAGAGCTTGTTTAGCCTCCAAGTTCTCTTCTGCCATCTTCCTCCAGACCCTGGGAGTCATATTTTAACATATTCACTGGCAGAGATTCAAGAATTCAGTCCATCAAAGTCATAAGTTTTCTAATATTCCTCATAAATCTCTATGCTTATTATGCAGGTTGATCTTCAAGAACTATCAGTTTGTTTTGGCATTGGCTTTCGCTATTGAGGAGATCAACAAAAACCCTAATCTTTTACATAACTTGACTCTTGGATTTGATATCTATGATTTTTTCTTTGGAGCTTGGGCAGTATTTAAGAATCCCTTCATTTGGCTTTTTGGGGAGGATAAGAGTCCAAACTACTCCTGCATGAGAGACAGCAAATCTATAGCAGTACTTACAGGACCATCAGGAATAACATCAGCCCAGATTGGTCCACTGCTGCAACTTTACAGGATTCTACAGGTGAGTGTGAGGAGTGTAGGGATATTAAGTAATGTCTAATTTGGTACTATTTCAGGTGTTAGAAGAGAATGATAGGAAAAGACTGTATTTTTTTTGGTCAGTTGTAGGCCTTGAACTCTAGGCCTGGGTGTTGTCCCTGAGCTCTTTAGCTTAAGGTTAGCACTCTACCACCTGAGCCACGGTGCCACTTCTGGCTTTTTCTGCTTATGTGGTGCTGAGTAATCAAACCCAGGGCTTCATGCACGTGAGGCAATCACTCTACCACTGAGCCCCCTTCCCAGACCCAAGACTGGATTTTTGAACCTATCAAATTTTGTGATGTCAAAGAGTAAGTATTCTGGCTGGGAAGGTGGCTCAGTGGTAGAGGAGCACTTGCCTTGCATGCACGAGGCCCTGGTTTCGATTCCCCAGCACTGCATAAGCAAAAAGAAAAAAGCCGGAATTAGCGCTGTGGCTTAAGGGGAAGAGTGCTATCCTTGAGCTGAAGAGCTGAGGGACAGTGCCCAGGCCCAGAGTTCAGGCCCCACGACTGGACCCCCCCCCCAAAAAAAACAAAAAGAGTAAGTATTCAAAGATAGTCAGATATCTGTTATTTGCATTGTTTGGAAAAGAGGATAGAAAAGTTAGAGCAGACAAAGGGATTATTTGGAGTTTTGGGTCCTATCAATAATTTTCTTTAAAAAATCCAGAAATGTAAAGTGACTTTAAAGTGTGAAGATAATCTTACTAATGAAATTTTATCACCAATAACTAGCAAAAACCGAGTGAATGTGTAGTACAAGTACCAGAGTGATATCCTTGAGGAGCCAAGCCAAGAAATTGCATGAAGGCTTGAGTTCATGTCCATACACATGAACACACTTGTGTGCGTGCACACACAGTATGATTTTGAATTGTCAGTCAGTATCAGGAAGAAAAAGGGGCCATGAGTCCTCTCACATGTGAAAGTTGGAGCTAAAGTATCAACATGAAATGTGAAATATGGGACACATACATAACCATTTATATGTATACATGTTCAATCTGACAACGAACAGTAGATAATATTCAATGTACATATGTGAAAATGGAATTAGAAACATCAGGAAATAGGGTGAGGTTGATATAGATGGAAGGAGTTGATGGATATAGTGACAAATTCAAAAACTATTATAAATGTATTTTTTTTCCAAAAATGAAACCTAACATCTATCTACTTCAACTGGTTGCTTAATATATATCAAGACTGAGATTGTGACAGGTGGAATCTTGCCACTCATGGAGCATGCAATTTTCTTTCCTTTTAGTTTACCTTTGGGCCTTTTGATCATGCCCTGAATGACAATAACAAGTTTCCTGCTCTTTATCAGACGGCCACAAAGGACACATCAATTGCCACTGCCATGGTTTCCTTACTGCTTCACTTCAGCTGGAACTGGGTGGGACTGTTGACCTCACAAGATGAGAATGATTTGTGGATTTTTCCTGAGCTGAAAGAAGAGATGGCCAAGAACACAGTTTGTGTAGCTTTTGAGCATGTGATTCCAAACCATTCCTTGTCACATGTATTGAGACTCACAGCAGTTTATAACCAGATTAATAAATCTTCCACAAATGTACTCATTATATATGGTGATAATGAATCCCTACTGGATTTAATGATGTGTGTTGAACGATTTTTAGTAACAGGCAAAGTGTGTATCATGAATTCACAGTGGCATTTAACCATGAAAAGGAAATATTTCATGCTAGGCTCATTCCATGTACCTTTCATTTTTTCATACCACCATGCACAAAGTATTGGATTCACAGATTTTATAAGGGCAGTTAACCCTTCCAAATACCCAGAAGACTTTTACCTTGCTAGGTTGTGGTTTCTGTCTTTTAATTGCTCAACTCCTGACTCTGACTGTGTGACATGGGAGAACTGTCCACATGATGCCTCCTTGGAATGGTTGCCTGGACACACTTTTGACATGGCTATGTCTGAAGAGAGTTACAATATCTACAATGCTGTGTATGCTGTGGCCCAGGCCCTCCACGAGATACTTCTTCATCAAACAGAAGTGACATTAATGGGAGATGGGAAAGGGACGGTACCTTCCCTTGCACAGGTAATGCTTCTGTGTTGGATTTCACATACCATGGGCAAAGTTACTTTCTAATAGTGTTTTTCACAGGATGAAATTAAGTATTTAAAACTTCTTTTTAAATCCAAGAGAAACTATATTTAAAGGTATGTGAAGTACACTAGAACTGTGTTCATGTTCTTTCAAAGAAACATAGGCCTAAGATAAAAATATAATTAAGAAAAAAACAACAAAAAAACAAGTCAGAGTAAAGCAGGAACTGTTTCATGCTTTTTCCAATTCTTTCTGTTATGAATGATTTCTTAACATGCTCATGGCTAACATTCTCAATATTACAAATCAAGCTTTTCCCTCCAAATACCTAAAACCTGTGGAATATATACAGACTTCATAAATGATCCTGATTAACTCCACTTTAGATATGACCAATTTGGAAAACTTAACATCTCTGAACATTCATAACATTATGGTTGTGGCAACTGTAGTTAGGCAACTTAAAAGAAACATATTTAGGTGGATATAGTTCAGCTTGAAAAATGAGCCTTGGGAATCTACACATTATGACCTGGTTTCCCTAGACTTTCTTTATTTTCACTTGTTAGGTTTCTTCCCATAGACATTTTTTGTTCAGATTTTTAAATCGTTATTGTAAAAGTGCTGTACAGAGGAGTGTTAGTTACATATATCAGGTAATAAATACATTTTTTGGTGAGTTTTAATCACTGTTTTAGCTATTTTTATTTCTTTAAAATTTTTTTGTAAAGATACTGTAGAGAGGGGTTACAGTTACATGAGTAAGGTAATGAGTACATTTCCTTTGGAGCACTGTTACCCCCTCCTTCGTTTTTCCTCTACCATCGCTTCCCTGCCCACCTCCCCAACTCCTCCCTCCTTACCCAAGTTTAAAGTTCATTTTCCACAATGTCTTGTACATCTCATTGTTACAATGGGTCAACATGTTGAATACAATTCTTTTTGATCAGTGTCACCTATTTCCTTGTTTTCTCCCAGTTTTCCCTTCTGTCAACCTTCTTTCACAAGGTGCATAGTTTTTTCAACGTAGTGTCTAGTGAATATCTGCATGTATCTACTAGCCATTCTTACCTCCTCTTCTGAGAAGTCTCTCTTTATGTCTTCAGCTCATTTATTAACTGTGTTTTACTTTGTTGAGTGTTTGTTTTTTGGGGGAGTGAATTTTGTGAGCTCTAAGCATATTTTAGGTATAAGGCCCCTGTCTCATGCATAGCTAGTAAAGATCTCCCATTCTGTGGACTTTCTATTTGTCTTCATAGCTATGTCCTTTGCCATGTAGAAACTTTTCAGTTTGATACGATCCCATTTGTCCACACTTTCTTTTTGTTCCACTGGTTTGATGTCTGTTGATCTTGAATTATAAAGTAAGGATTAAAGATAATGAGGGGCTTTACTTCACTCAGGTTTTCTCTCTTAGTTCTTAGATTCACTTCAACATAAGATTTGTATCTTTTGTAGCTGCATGTTTTTCTGAAGAAAACCCTATTTAAGACTCTTGCTGGAGAAAAAGTAATTATGGATGATAAAAGAAAATCAGAGCTAGAGTATGACATTGTAAACATTTGGAATTTTCCAGAAGGTCTTGAACTTAACGTGAAAGTAGGGAAGTTTTCTCCATATGCTCCACATGGTCATCAGCTTTCATTGTCAGAAGATATGATAGAGTGGACCTTAGGAAGTACAGAGGTGGGTCATATCTAATTGTCATGATTTGAACTACACAGAAATAATCAAAATAAAACTCTTTTTATACTTGTTGTAATCTCTAATGGCCCAGCATTATGTATTTAATTATTTTTAAATTGAAAGAAATGATGCCATTTATTGACTTTTAGATGGGAAAGGCACAAAGGAATGTAACAGTTTGCTCATAAATGTTCATTTATTTCTTATAATAAAGATAAATGACAGTCATAGCAGTTTTCTATCCCTGGGACAAAATACTTAAGGAATCAATTCATAAGACTGAAATGTTTATTTTGATCATCTCTGTAGTTTTTTCATCAATGCTTAGTTGACCTGTTACTTAGGCATCTATGGTGAGAGGAATCATTGAAGAAGCCTGTGTGAGAAGAAGATCCTTATATCATGGAAAGTGGAAAACAGAGAGGTAGATAGGACGGGCCTTCTTTTGTTTTATGATTTGAGTTATCTTTTTTTTAAATTAATTAATTTATTTTTTATTTGTGAACATACTGTACAGAGGGGTTACAATTACATGGGCAGGATAATGTGTACATTTCTTACCAAGCATTGCAGCCTCCTCCTTTGGTTTACCCTTCACATCCCTTCCCAGCCTTCCCCCTCCCCCCAATCCCAATCCTTCCTCCTCCCCCCGCCTCCCCCCCCCCCCCCCCCCCCGCACCGATGTTGTAAAGCTCATTTTGGACATGACAACTTGTACTTCTCATTGTTGCAACAGGTACACCTGTATCCTTAAACAACTGGTTTTTCCCCATCTCCTCCACAAGTTATACTGACATCAAATATAGTGAAAGCAGGGGTTATACTGTGGGGGAAGGACATACAAAGCAACAAAGAGATAATCTTATAAATGCGTTAGAAACACATGCATGAAAGGAAAAAAACATTAAAAATACATATCTAAGGGTTCATTTTCCTGACATCACATTATCTGACCTTTTCCGCTTGACTCATACATAAACTAGATATTGCAAATAAGGGAAACCATGGGACCTATGTTTCTTTGGGCCTGGCTTACTTCACTTAATATAATTTTTTCCAAGTTTTTCCATTTCCTAACAAATGGGGCAATGTCCTTCTTTCTGATGGAGGCATAGAATTCCATTGTGTATATATACCACATTTTCTTGATCCATTCATTTACTGAGGGGCATCTGGGTTGGTTCCATATCTTAGCTATGGTAAATAATGCTGCAATAAACATAGTTGTGCTGGTAGCTTTAGTGTGGTCTTGAGGACGGGCCTTCTTTACAGCATACTTTTAAAGCTTCAAGGAGGATTCTTCCTCCTTACTCTTCACCATATCACTGATGAGTAAGAGTAATGAATTCAAAGAAATTCCATAGAGCTACGCACTAGGACTTACTTTCTCACCATTTATCGCTAGCTTTTAAAGGTACTACACTTCTCATAGTTCAATAGACTAGAGATCAAGACTATAGAACATTATCTTTTGGTGATCACATGATGTGGAATCTATAACAGCATTCAATTAACTGACTGGACTTAAATGTATAGAAATACTATGCCTAATATTTTGATTCTTTAAAACAATGGACTTTTTGGAGTGTTAGGTAAAACTCTAAACAGTTACTGACATTTATGTTTTTTCTTAGACTCCTTACTCTGTGTGCAGTGAGAGCTGTGGTTCTGGATTCAGGAAATCCTCTCAAGAGGGAAAGGCTGCCTGTTGCTTTGACTGCACCCCCTGCTCAGAGAACGAGATTGCTAATGGGACAGGTAAATTCATGACTTAGGAAGAAAATCATACTTTCTCCTAGTGTCCCCCAATCCATGCAAGTCCAGGTAAAAGTGCATATTAGGATTGCAGAGTCAAAGTCTTTCTTCCTTCAATTAGTAATTTAATTGTGATAATGGATGGTACTGCTCCTTTAGAAAACACAAATCATGGGTTTTGAATTACATATAGTATTGTTTTCTAGTCTGTTGAGTGGATGATTATTCAACTACTCAGTAATGTAAATTTAACTTCTATCATATTAAGTGCCAAGCTTTTTCAAGGACAAGGTCTCCATCTTCTTCAAAATTACCTTTAAAAAATTGCCCATCTATTTGATAGTGCCCAGAACTAGTCCTCCAACAGAGCAAGTGCTCTGGGTTGGATTTGGTGTGAAGCAGACATAAGTGGTGCACACAGCTTGACTTTAGAGCTTAAAAGGGCTCTGTTTCCCACTGTTTTACAGGTTACTAGGAGAGACAAATAGAACTGCAAGGAAGGGCTACCAAGGTCCTATTTATTGCACAGAAACATACATCAGAGTTCCAGCTTTATTAACCAAAATTTTGAATGGGGGCTTGGAATTATATACATAAGGCTGGAAATTATTATGGCAGCATTATTATTGTGCTGAAAATTGTTGCTAGGATATTAGAAATGGCAAGACATAAATGTGTGATAGTCACTGTGGGTAAAAAGGTTCAATGAGACTGAAAAGAAAGAGAATGTGGGAATGATAAATACATAATATGATAACATGATAAATACATAAAAATAATACTGAACATGTTTGGTAATACTTGGTATTATTTAGTTTTATGATAGTAAGTACTGACATTTTAGAATTATCTCTACATAGGGATTTTGTAATTTCCTTTTAAGAACTGAAAAGGGACTAATGGTTATTTGGCTTCTTCACCAGACATGGAGCAGTGTGTGAAATGTCCAGAGCACCAGTATGCCAACACAGAGAGAAATCAATGCCTCCTAAGAGTTTCAAGTTTCTTGTCTTATGGAGAACCCTTGGGGATGGCTCTGACCTGCATGGCTCTTTGTTTAGCTACACTCACAGCAGTTGTTTTTGGGGTCTTTGTGAAACATCAGAACACCCCCATTGTCAAGGCCAATAATCAGGCTCTCAGCTACATCCTGCTCATCTCCCTCATTTTCTGTTTCCTGTGTTCCTTGCTCTTTATTGGCCATCCCAACATGGTCACCTGCATTCTGCAGGAGACCACATTTGGAGTTGCATTCACTGTAGCAGTTTCCACTGTCTTAGCCAAAACTGTGACTGTGGTTCTGGCTTTCAAAGTCACTTCTCCAGAGAGAAGGATGAGATGGCTGCTCGTATCAGGAGCTCCTAACTTCATTATTCCCATCTGTACCCTGATCCAGGTGACTCTCTGTGTACTCTGACTGGGGACTTCTCCTCCCTTCATTGACACAGATATACAATCAGAACATGGCCATGTCCTCATCCTGTGTAATAAGGGCTCCCTCACTGCTTTCTACTGTGTCCTGGGATACCTGGTTTTCCTTGCTCTGGCCAGTTTCACTGTGGCTTTCTTGGCCAGGAACCTGCCTGACACCTTTAATGAAGCCAAGTTTCTGACCTTCAGCATGCTGGTGTTCTGCAGTGTGTGGCTCACCTTCCTGCCCGTCTACCACAGTGCCAAGGGAAAGGTCATGGTGGCTGTGGAGGTCTTCTCCATCTTGGCCTCCAGTGTGGGGCTCCTGGGCTGCATCTTTGCTCCCAAGTGCTACATCATCTTGTTAAGGCCAGAGAGAAATTTTCTGCATGGCTTTAGGGACAAAAAATATATTGGGAGAAATAAGCCCTCTTAAGATGAAACTTATATACCTGATCAAATACACATAAGAACGCTAGATTAAATCTAAGTTCCTTTTCCCATTAGATATTAACTTCTATTGTGGGAATCACTTCAATGAATAAGTGAATCTTAACTCATTTCTCTAGTAATGATATAGACACAAATTATAGCCAGAGCCAGGTAAATTTCAATTTTATTATGTATGATCCTCCGCATTTAATCCCATCATTTCTGCTAGTGCATTTCCAATGTTGACCTGTTTTCGAATTTTGCTTTCTTAACCATTTGTCTAGCTATTTTTGTGCCAGTCATAGGACTTTAACTTAAAGTCTGGGTACTTGTTCACAAATAAAATTAAAATTAAAAAAAAGTCTAGTCTGGGTACTGTCCCTGAGGTTTTTTATTTTTATTTTTGCTTAAAGATTCTCATGGACTATGTAGGCCAGGGTAGCATCAAAGTTTGATCTCCAGATCTCAGCTTTCTGAGTAACTATGATTATGGGTTTTTTTTCTAAGTTTTAATGTACACTAACTTCCTGCCTGAATAACACTATGCTGCTTCATCCTTAAATACATTTCATTAATATTTTCTTCTTTAAAAAATTCCATATTTTCTCATACTCATTAGTGTTTTTAATAGTTCTCTATTTCTTTTAACACATCTTCCTTTTGCAATATTCCTCAGTTTGTTCCATTAAGTCAATCTCCCCAAATCCACTCCATTTCTGTTTCCTTTCTTTTATCTTCTTTCTTCCCTTCCTTCCTCTTTGCTTTTTGTATATAGTTTTAGAATTCAAAGAATGGTCTTTATATGCTGCAAAAATGCACTTTAATTGTACATCACAATGTATTGGATTTGTGGTTTAATAGCTGAGGAAAGTAGAGATTGCTAATAGTTTGCTCATCCATGGCTGAATAAAAATTTCAACTTATTCTTGTTTAATCACTTTAAAATATTATACATACAAATTTATATACTATATATATATATATATATATAAAGTTTTTCTTATGTTATCAATTGATGTTACATATGTTTATTACAGGAAAATGTTACATTTCCAAAATTTTAATTTTATAAGAAATTCATTATTCATTATTTTAAACAGACTGAATTATTGGGTTCTATACTATGTTTAAAGAACCACATGACTTTGGGGAGGAGAAGGAAAATAACAAAATGATGAAATAAGGATACAGGTTGACCCATTGTCACAATGAGATGTACAAGACACTACGTTGCCAATAAACTTTACAATTCTGGGGTGGGGAAGAGAGAAGTTGGGGAGTTGGGAAGGGAAGGGATAGTGGGGGAAAAACAAAGGAGAAATTAACAATGCTCAAAATGAAATGTACTCATTATCTTACTCATGTAACTGTAACCCCTTTGTATAGTATCCTTACAATAAAAATATATAAAAAAGAAACACATGACTATTTAAGACATATTATCACATAATGGCCATCCTTCCTGTTCTCTTCTATTGTTCATTGCCTCTTCTTTTGACACTTGTTTTTCTAATAGATGAGTGATTATATACTTAGAATGGGCTTCTACTACTTTAGTTTTCAACTGGCAATATGACCATGTTTTGGCAAAAAACCCCACTGTGCTCATGTTCTTTTTTAAAAGACATAATACTTATCAAATGTTTTTTAAATCCTTAGTATTTGTATCAAGAGATGGCCAAAATATTTGTTTCTATTGATGTTAATATTTTATCTTTTTTCTTGATTTTAGAAATTTCATCAATAGGGTTGGATTATTACGGCTGAGTAAAACACGGATTATCCATTCAGTGGCAATCAATTAACAGTGGTCACAACATATCAGTTCCCCAATATCCACTATGCAGAAGTTAGAGTGCATGCTGGCTACCAGGAAGGAGAGCAGTTATCAAGTCTGACTAAGAAAAAAGAGACAAGGGATGGTCCTTAAGACATCCTGTTAATGTTATGCAAATGTTACAGTCAATTGCAGAGGTGAAGTTCCGATGTTGACACTGGTGATAATAAGACATAAAAAATCAGGGGATATTCAAAGGCTTAAACAGAGGTCATGAGATAAGTAGGCTGCTCAAACTGGTAGCAATTATCTCATATTGAATATGCATATTAAATGTACACATATAATATTTTATCTATGTATACTGAATATTCACCCACAGGTGCAGTATGTGGGTGCTATGACTCTGCTCACAGCTCTATAGGATGATGTAGCCCTAGGCTTTTGATCACCTGATATTCATGTGAGGCATAAAAAGAGAGCAAAACTCTATCATCATGATATAATGAAGTCATATACTTTTACTTTATAATTCCTCGTGGAAGGATACAGAAATACATATTCTCATGCACACAAATAAAAGCAACAGAAGTAAAAATCAACAACGCTTTTAGATGCAGCAACTTAAGACCAAACACAATCCATAGTATCCATGAAGTGATGAAAATAAGACTCAGTCAGGTGCTGGTGGCTCATGCCTGTAGTCATAGGTACTCAGGAGACTGAGTCCTGAGCATTGCAGTTTAGAGCCAGCCTAGGCAAGAAAGCCCATGAGATTCTTATCTCAAATTAACCACCAGGAAACCAGAAGTGGAACTGTGGCTCACAGTGGTAGAGTGCTAGCCTTGAGGAAAAAAGAAGGAAAGAAGGAAGGAAGGAAGGAAAGAAAGTTAGAAGGAGAAAAGACTCAGAGAAGCATTAGTTCCTTCAGCTGAAATCCCCCAAAATAAAGGTTGGAAAATCTAATGTGTCTTGAACTGCTGAAGGAAGAGAGAAAACAAATTTCAATACATGCCAGGAGGCCTGCTGGTTTGGTGGTACTTCTACTAGACTATACAATCTACAATCTACAAGAACCATACCATAATGTAGTGGGAGCTGGAGGTTACCATGGCTACTGAGATTTTGGCTGCAGTACCCCTGATATTGTTGGTTGTAGATCATTACTCTACTTACTTGGTACTAAGATTATATTAAAGAAAAACCCTGGAGGACCATTACATAACTACAGCTCTCTAAACAAATGTGGTTATCACACTGACTACTTCTCATCTAGTTATTCAGTGTAGAAAAGCAAATCAAAACATTTCCTAGCAAATTAGTACCAAGTATAGCAGGCTTCAGAAGAAGGTTTCCAGAAAATTTATGTGTGGAACAGAGTTTTAAGAGAACTTCTGCTTCTGTGTAAAATCTGCTGTTCAGATGAATAATATACTATATCTAGCTATGTTTGCTAGAGCGTAGTTGGTGGAAGTGAATGGACACATTCTCCATTAGCCATCTATTCTTTAAGAAAAGCCATCCACTGAGGCTCATATTGCTTCTGTGTTACCCAAATCTGAAGAATGTAAAAGCATAACAGAGGAGCTATTGACACAAAAAAACATTATGAGGAAGTCAAGGTAAAATGAATGCCACAATAGCTATCTGATTAGGACTGAAATAAAGCAAAGAATGATGCAGGACTATAAATTATTATGGCATAAATCATCAGTGCACTAAAACAGAAGAACCCAGTTGTGTCCTAGTGGCTCATGCTTATAATCCTCGGTATTCAGAAGGCTGACATCTGAGGACTGAGGTTCAAAGGCAGCTTGGGCTGGCTTTGGCTCAAGTGGCAGAATGCTAGTCTTGAGAACAAAAGCTCAAGGACAGTCCCTAGGGAATGATTTCAAGCCCCAGGACCTACAAACACCAACTGGTACATGTGAAGGCCATTCCCAGTCATCAGCAGGGGAGGGTTACTCTTTCACTTAGTCTTCCCCATTTGAGTTCATTTAGCAAGCCTTGTATCCTATTGGCCTTTAAGTTCCTTGACTTGCCTTCACTAGGTATCTCTCTGTTCTTCTATTGATTAAAAAATGAAAAGCAAGGCTATTTTTCTGACTAAATCCAAACAAAACTCTGTAACAGGAAACAAGTAGCGAATTAAAAGGAATTTATCCATCATACTTCTTATCTGGAAGTAAATATTACATTCTGACATACTTTTATTTGAATACCATGACACACATTGTTTTGGCCTCTCTTAATCTACTTATGTTTGACAACTGAAAAAACCTAGTATCACTAGTCTCATCTCTTCTGCCTGAATTCTTCTCTTTTTAGGTTGAAGAAAAGAGGTGGAATGTTCTTTCTATCCTTACTCCACTCTGATAGTCTACCCCTCTAAAAGAAGAACTATAACACTGAATTCTTAGAAGAGAGAATGAAAAGGCTTTGTAAAATACAACAAATTTTGCTAGGAAATCGATTATACTGAAGTTTTAAGCAGGATCTTACAAATACATTGCACTCACTGGTCTTACACATTTTGTCAAAGGTTAAATTCTATTAAAGACTTTACTGAGAACATTTCATTCAGAGATACTTGGAATGAAACAAAGACACATCAGTTAAATTAGAAACAAAATTTATGGCTTAAGATTAGATACTTAGTTTACATTGACTTTCAAACACAAGACTTTAACTCTTATGTTTTCTTAATGGTTGCAACACAAAGACTTAAACATCCCCATTTTTAAATAAAAGTTTTGTACTGAAAAAATAAAAGTAAACAAAAATCCTGTACTATATTCTTACAAGGATATACAGAGAAAATTCCCTAACTACTTTTATACAGAGGATGTTAGCAGGAAGTAACTACAGAATAAAGGACCTCTGTCCATACTCCTGGCCCACCAGTACCCCTAGTTTATTAAACAACAAAGTGGGAGATGTTAGCATTCCCTCCATATTAGGTACTCAGTCCCTCCCACTTCACTGAGGGAGCAGATTGTAGCCCCAAGCTACATCAGCTGAATGCCCTCCACCTAGATCTGAACTTATCCCTGCCTAGAACTCTCTCGGGTTTGGTTGGCATTCCCACTCTCTGCCCAGACCTAGCTGCACATGCAGAGTACCTTTCACCTCTAGCCCAGGTGTTACAGGATCCACCTGGTAGGGGCTGGCACTATATTGTTCCCTATACAGTGGGTATATGGCCCCTCTGATAAACCTCCTTATAA